GGCCCGCGCGCGCTCCGGCCCCTGCGCTGTGGATCCCCGCGGGGCGATGGGTTGATGGGCCCCGGGGGACGCAGGATGCTGGCGGCTCCCGCGCGTCTGCTGCTGCCGCTGCTGCTGCTCCTGGCGCCTGGGACTCGGGGCGCGCCGGGTTGCCCGGTCCCCATCCGCAGCTGCAAGTGCTCGGGGGAGCGGCCCAAGGGACTGAGCGGTGGCGCCCCTAACCCGGCGCGCAGGCGGGTGGTGTGCGGCGGCGGGGACCTCCCGGAGCCTCCCGAGCCTGGCCTTCTGCCAAACGGCACCGTCACCCTGTGAGTACTCTACCAGGTGCGGGGGTCAGGACGAGTGGGACCTAGACGGGCGCGGAAGGGGACGAACCAGCCGCTGGAGAAGCCGGGCAGGGTCTGAGTCCAGTCGCCCAGCAGGGAAGCTTGGAGAAGGAGCGAGGGGCTGGAGCGCCGAGGGGCTGGGGCAGGTGTGCCCCAGAGAGAGCCCCGCGGGTGCCCACTCACCTGCACAGGTGAAGTGGGAGTGGACGCTGGCGGGACGCGGTGCTTCTCCAGGTGGATTTTGGGGACCGGAGCCGGGTGCGATGAAGCCTGCTCGACGCTCCTTAGGTGGCTGTGGTCCTTACCCGAGCGAAAGAGAACCCTCCAGCTCTCCCCCGGGGCGCCGGGTGTCTCCAGCCGGGATCACTATGTTGCCCCGGGCCTGCACACCCGGCGCCCAGCCCCGCACTCAGCGGCTGGCGGGAGGGTGAGCTCTGAAAACCCATCGCTTCTGGTCCGCAAGAAACCCCGGCGTCCCGGCTTCTCCGGAGCCCCCTCCCGCGGTGTGCATTTGTGCAGTGAACTTGGGCTGGGTCCCGAGTCCTCGGTCTTATCCTGTCTCTGCCTGGAAATGACACAAGCTTTGGCTGTTCCTTGATTGACTTCTTTGCGAAAAGTTTAGGTTAAAAAAAAAAAAAAAAAAAAAAAAAAAACCGGCTGGAGGGAAGACGCGTGCCTCCTAACCTCCTTCCGCGATTCGCTGCTCAACCAGGGCCACGGTTAGTTTTTGCTGACCACCAAGTGGCTGTGCCCCGAACCCGGCTTTCAGATTCTGGCGCTAGCAGGAGGGGAGCCTTCCGCACCCCAGTAGTTTCCTGCGCTGGCCATGTGCTTCTAGCTGGACGCACAACGTGGAGTTAAGGGTCGCGCCCTGGCCTAAAAACGGCTTCCCCTTCCCTGTAGTCCTCACTGCCCGTTTCTCCAACCACCCCTTGCCCAGAGCTGGGACTGGCTAAGTCTATTTGATTTTGGCCAGAACAATACTATAACTCCTCGGGTTGGGTGAGTTCAGAGGCAGCCAGCTTCCTGACAGGACACAACCAGTTAGCCTGTGAAGTTGGCTGGCCACATTTCCCCAGCTGGTGTGTGTGTGTGCATGCACAGGCCTGTGTGCCTTGCCGTGAAGGCTTCATGACTACCCTCTTCCACCTAGCCGTGGCTCAATGACCAGGCACTCCTGGCTGATCACTGTAGGTCTGAATGTCCACTTATTCTTAAAGGTCTGGTAGGCCTGGGCATTCTCCAGCCTACGCGGTTTTAGAGGAGAAAAGTGCTTGCTGTGTAGGATAGCTGGGCCAGGTCTGTGAGCCACAGCTGCACTGTGATAGTTCAGTCTCGGGAGGAGAACTTGTGTGAGCACACATGCTCTGTGGCTCCCTGCACTCATGTGTGGGCGCTGTCTCTCTGTCTGTTGGTGGGGATTAAGGAATCCTAACATGGCCCAGGCAGAAGGAAGGGGGAAAAAATAGAAAGGTGGTTTTGCAGTACATCTTAGAATGATTTGGCAACTAATGCTTTCCAGCCATGGCTAATTCCCATGGATGCCACTCCGAGGAGTGGGATGAGCCCTTAGCGAGGCTATATTGTGACACAGTGGCACCTTCCTGCCCCAGGCCTCCCTAGAGGAAGGTCCCTCTTTCCTCGGGCTGCTCATCTAGCTGGTTTACAATACCAGGCCCCCAGCCTGGCAGACAACAGACAGGGCAGAACCAGGAAGCCCTTGAGAGCCCACTCACCTACCAGCCCTGGCTGTGATGGAATCAGAATCTCCAGCCAGATGTTTTTCTCAGCTTCTCATATTTATGATCTCGATGGTACCCACCCCCACCTCCTCACCCCTGCAAGTGGCCTCTGAAGAGAAAGAACCAGGATCTCCTCAGCAGAAGCTGACATACATGCCTTGAACATACTAGATGCATCTTAGGATGAGAAAGCAGGGCTGGGAAGGGGCTGCTGCTTCCACTTGACAGTCAAAGGTCAAAATCCTGGAAGCCTCCATAGATGTGGGGTGTTTGCTAGGCATGGGGTCCATGCCTGTAATCCCAGTGTTTCAGGCAGGAGGATGGTGAGTTCCAGGACACCCTGGGCTACATAGGGAGATGCTGTCTCAAGCAAAACATAAACATTAACTTCACTTGCCCTAACTCCTTTTGTTCTTTCTTTTCCACACACATTTTCCCCTTCGTCTTTTAGCTTGTCACCCCGTTACAGCAACAGGACTTGAGCCAACTGTTTTGAATTATGTCTGTGTTCTTCCTCACAGACATCTACATTCCCACCGAGGACGTTCTTTTTCCCTCCAGAATGGTCTCCAGCTCCCAGTCACAGGAACCGTCAAGATAGAACCCTGGCAGACACCTAGTGCTAGGACTAAAGATGCAGATAGGTCCTTGTCATACCTCCCTTGAACAGTCCTGTTTACCTCACTGGAACGCTTCCTTCCACCTCCACCCTGTTATCTCAGCTTCTGCCTTGTTTTTCTAGACTTCATGCCCCTCTCCCCACCCTCTGCTTTGTGTCCCCAGTGGTGGACTTTTATTCGCAGTTTTCCAGGAAAGCAGAGCTCTTGGCTTCCTTCCTGATCCATCTGTCTCACCCCACCCCCAGCCTCACAGCCCAGTCTGCAGGGCAGCTGTGGGCACAAACATCCAGAGCAGGAGACTTTATGGACCTTCTCTGAGGGGAAAGATCCCAGGGTGGGTGGCTTATCACAGGGAGAATCTGGGTGTGGGTGGGAGCCTCCCCTACCTGGGCAGCTGCTGAGGAGCCTGCCCTCCAGTCCTCAGCTCTGAGAGTTAGAGCAAGGAGGAGGGGGTTTGAGAATAAGGGATTCCAGGAAAGATTGATAATAGATAACTCCAGAAGGAAATCTCCCCAGGAGGACCTCAGAGGATACAAGCCCAGTGCCATAAATTCCTACTTGATCTGTACTGCAGAGGGTCTTAGAGATCTGCAACTCCAGGCCCACATCTATCTTATGGCCTTGTAGCTGAGGCTGGGGAGATGCTGGACTGATTGTGTTTCGTTGACAGTCCAAGGCTAGGTGGGATCAGTGTGGGATTAGCTAGTAGGGTCTCTTAGAATTTCTGTCTGATGAGGGTCTTGCTGTTTGGGGCCAATTGGACACAAAAACGACTTTTAAAATCCAGTTTTTCCTCAGCAGGACCAAAAGCCCTTTTAACCTAGGAACATTCCAGGCTGGGTGAACAGGGGGCAGGCATGGGCTAGGTCTCTCCTCCTCTCCCCAGAATAGGCACCTGTTCAGCCTCCCGATGGGAATGAGGGGTGCCCACCACAGAGGCTCCTGTACAGACAGGAAGAAGCTATTTGCATGGATGTGCCCAGCATTGGCTGGGTGCTTGGCTGGGAGTCTGGGGTCTTGGGTAGGGAGAGACAGGAGAGACCCCTTACAGCTCGTGGGCACTGTTCCTGCCTCTTGTGTAAAGATATCCCTCAGGACTCCCAGCTCTGGCCTGGGACTTAGGCAAGGCAACCACCAGGACCTAGTTAGAGGAGTGTGGGGCAAAGTGTGCCAGCCATCAAGCACACAGCCTGAGGGCAGTGGAAAGATGCTGGCTGGAGGGGCGGGCCCAACCAGCCTCCCCACCCCCTTCTCTTCCATCCTCTTTCCCCCATATGGTTCTCATAAGGTCTGGGCTCCGAGACAGCGGCCAGAGGAAGTGGCTGTGTACAGAGAGCTTTTGTGAGCAAAGGAGGGGGAGGGGGAGAACGGAGAGAAAGAAGGAGAGAAAAGATGGAAGAGGCCAGAGATGAGGAGGTGAGGGAGGCCCAGGAGGCTCCAGCACACTCCCTAGCCCTCCAGGGGGAAGGTCTCAGCCTCACCTTGTGGGCTTCTGGGGCTTGTATATCAAGTAAAGGGCGCAGGAGAAAGCCCAGAGCCTCTTTGATGCCTCCATTTGTCTCCTTGAGGTGGTCAGCTCAGGTACCAGGGATTCTGACTGCTCCTGCCTGTGCCCTTAAGAACCCCTGTCCTGGGGGCGCCTTCCAGTGCCAGACAGTGGGGTGTGATGCATGGTCCTGTCCTGGAGGGAGAGCAGACCTCCCCGGGATTGCTGCTCCAGCATTTAGGGCACTGAGGAGATTGGAGAGGCCTTCAGGCTGAGTCCCAAGGACACATACACGTACTTCAGCCCCAGATGGTACCAAGACCCAGAGTGGGTCATTTGCCTGAACTACTCAGGATATGTGCATGAACTCTTCTGACCCCAAGAAAGTCCCTTCCTGCTGGTTCCTGTGGAACTGGGGAGGGCTATGACAACCTAGTCCTTGGGGGTGAGTCTGAGAATCTCCCCCAAAGGTACGGGCAGACCAGTGTAATTTGAACCTAATGGTAGGTTGACCCTTAAATTTGGGGTCATGTTTTTAAAGCAAGAGAGTGCTTCTAAGTTTATCCCACATGGGAGTCATTGGTCTAAGAACCTTTTCTGCCAGGGAAAGAAATTTCAACCACTTCTGACTTGATCCAGGTCTTTCCACTCAGTGAAATCTCTGCCTGCTCTCCTCACCAAAGTCTAGAGGGTAGGAGAACTCCCCCATGCCACACGGCCTGCCCAGAACCACTAGGTCTCCTGTTACTACTAAGGTAGAGGCTGCATAAGGACGAGAGGGGAGAAGAGAGAAGGGAAATGGCCCTGGACTGAGGGACCCGAAGGAAAATCCAGACCATTAGGAAGGGCTGCTTAGAGGGGCTGTTTATTTTCACTCCCCCAGCCTGGCCGCTGTGTTCTATTTAGAGTTCAGACACTGACAGGACGAAGCTGCCTCCTCCCCTTCCTCCCTCCTCTGAGGGGCCCCCATTCTTCCCAAACTCCAGAACATTCCTTTGCTTTTAGGATTGGACTATGAAGGGGAGGGAGAGGAGGGGAGGCAAAGAAGCAGGAGTGAGCAGACTCTGAGGGCCTACTCCCCCAGCCCTTGCCTCTGATTTCCCCTGGGAGCAAGGGAGGCCTGGAAGGGGGAAT